CGGCCCCGGGCCAAGGGGGGTTCCGGGAGCCGGCGGCCAGTCCCCCCCTCGGCCCGCCCCGCTTCCAGCAGCTCCCATTGGCCTGGAGCAGCGAACCACGGCCAGTAGGAGCTACGATCGGCCGGACCTGCGGATGCAGCAGGTAAACAAACCGGCCCGGCCCGCCGGGAGCTTTCCCTACACAAGCGGTGTCCCAAGTTTGGGAAACACTGATCTAGACTATCCCTGATAGGTGTTTGTATAACGTGCTCTTAAAAATCTCCAATAATGGAGATTTCACAACCTCCCTGGGCAATTTATTCCATTGCTTAGCTATCCTGACAGGAAATTTTTCCTAATGTCCAACCTAAACTGCCCTTGTTGCAGTTTAAGCCCATTGCTTCTTGTCTATCCTCAGAGGTTAAGGAGAACAATTTTCCTCCCTCCTTTTAAGAACCTTTTATGTAGTTGAAAACTGGTATCATCTTTCCTCTGTCATCTCTTCTCCATACTAAACAAACCCAATTTTTTCAGTCTTCTCTCATAGGTCATGTTTTCTAGACCTTTAATCAGTGATCCTACTGTGGTTGGCTAAACTGGCTTTAAAATAGCTTTACTCTAACTGAGCTGTGCAAACCTGCCCCAGTGTGGGGTAGAATTGGGGCCAGAAATTGAGGAGAGAGAGTACCTCTTCTAACTGTAGTTCTTAGAACTCAACTTCCCTGTTGGTTTTCCTGAGACTTCCCAGAAAACTCTATTGTGGCATAAGATAAAGTTTGTGATGTTTCAGCAGGTTGGTTTAGTTGGCAATGTCAGAAGGTAGTCAGAATTAGAACGATTATAGAAAGCTAGTGCAAAATTTAACTACAGAGAGTCTCTCTAATAACTTTACTAGGGGATGAAGTGGAATGAAAAATTGAGAAATTATGCTTTGGTTGTGTCTGCAATAACAACATGGGGAGTACAGAAAATGACTCAAATCTTTAATAGATTAAACTTTTTCTCATTTTCTCCAGTCTTTAAGTGCACTGTTTTATTTTATTGTAGAGAAGGTGATTCAGAAGAAAGTCTGGGATCACCCAGTGACCCTAGCTTGTCTCTTATCTGTTGGAGCATCAGTGGCAAGTATCTGGCTGGAGCTTTGGAAAAAATGGTGAACATATGGCAAGTCAATGGTATGATGCATGTGTTTTTTATTTTTATTTTTTTAATAGTATAACCTGTGTCTATGACAGCTATTTAAAAGCTGCTGAGAAATGGCACTTTTGTATAGGTAGGTGTTTTAGCCGATTTACTTGCCAGTTAATATGCCAACCATCCTTCATTAGGTGCTCTGAACCCAGCTAATTCACTAGCACCTTAGTGCCTTTTTTCAACATTTGTTACAACATAGGCATTGGAAACGCAGTAGTTAACATGAATCCTTCTAGCCTATCATTGAACAAGAAAAGAGTCATAGAAATTTGTGCTGGGCTTTAGACTTGCCTACTGCAATAGCAATCATTGCCTATAAATACTATTCTTTTTATAGGGTGTAAAATATATTTGACATTTAAACAAGGTATCTCTAAAAGTTTGTATAAATAGTTTCTTTTAAAAGCAGTTCAAAAAGGTGCCAACATTTTCCTTCCATAGGTGCACTAGAATGCTCAAAATGGTACATTTGAGACTAACTCTGAAAGGAGAAGAGCATTAATCCTTTTGACAGCTGTAGGATCCCTATCTAACGCCTAATGTTTGCAGAAATCACTGATTACAGTCTTTGATAATCTTGGATGTTTCCATAGAGAACTGTTCCTCTGTGCTTGACACATGCTTGGTTCAGTGTATTGTTTCATTTATATGGTTACTGGCATTCCATAGGAGAAAGCATCGTTGTCTGAATGCTGCAGGCTTTCATAAAATTTAACTTCCTTCTTCTCTGAATTACTTTTTCTGGAGTAATTAGTTTGAAGATTAGTTCAATATGTGATGCTGTTAGAGACATTATATTGATTTTTGTTTCATGGCAAGTTAGTAACCAGTTACTTTGTAATCATATACTATATGTCAGTTTAAAAGATGTTAAGGCTCATCAGTAGTATATGTCCCAGTTGTATACATAGTTTTTCAACGTTGTCCTCTGAAAGGTACTCTTTGGTCTTTTAATTTCTAGTAAAATGAAGTATTATAGTAACAGATTTTTGGGGTTTTAGGAGGAAAAGGATTACTAGACCTTCAGCCACATTGGGTATCTGCTCTAGCTTGGCCAGAAGAAGGGCCATCTGCAGCATGGACAGGAGACACTCCAGAAGTATTATTAGTAGGTCGTATGGATGGATCTCTTGGGCTTATTGAAGTTGTAGATCTTTCAACCATGCATCGATTAGAACTGGAGCATTGCTACAGAAAGGATGGTAGGTGACCATGCTGATACTTCTAAAGAAAACTTGTAAGTTGCAAACTTACACATTTTTTGTCATCTATATTTAAAATGCAGAGTATACTTCAGTTTTATGAAGAACTGTCCACACAGATTCCAGTTCTAGTGCACATATGCCCCATAAACACAAGATTGGATTCTTTTTGTCCAGCAGTGTCTGTTAGAGCTGTGTCTACACCCTGGGTACTCTAGCCTTATCCCCAACTCCCCACCCCAAGGGCATAAAAGGTGTAGCAGGCTCAGCTGTCCCTCGGTTCCTTCTTATTGTCTGTGGCATCAAGATGGTACCCCTGCAGTGTCCACTTTGGTCAGGCAATATCCAACCAAAGATTGTCTAAATGGGTATCTAATTATATTAAATACAACACCAATACAGATTAGAGCCCATTCCACCAGGGTTCAGAATGGTGTACGCCATACTATCTCGTGTATGATGTTGGACAGTACTTCATAATGCACTACCTTACCATGGGGGAAGAGACTTCTTCCTGACCTCAGTTGGTGACCAGTTAATGCCTTAAAGCATGATGATTCATGTTACTGATGTACATGATGCAGGGAGCCTGGACTCCTGATTTCTGTTCTTGACTCTGACTCTGTGTGATGTTTGGCAAGTCACTTAACCTCTGCATGCCTCAGTTTATCTCTGTTTTTAATACACAACACACAGGAAATTGTGTGGCTTAGTCAATTAACATATAAAGTGCTAGAATATCTTTCCATATAAGGTGCAGCATTAAAGTCCAAAGTCTAATGTTGCCCAGCTGTGTTGAAGGAAGTATGTGACTTCTCTAAGAAGCATCGCTGTCAAAAATATGCAGGGCAACTACATGGGGATTAGTCCACCTTTCATCCAGCATTATTCGTCAGTTGAGGCCTCAAGATATGATGCTCTCTTGGGCAGTGATATTCTGCAGTCATTATTTAAATAGGACTCCTAGCATCCACCTTCTGATGTGGTCAGAGCTTGCAAGTCATCCGACGTGAAATCCATGAGGACAATCACTCAGAGAAAAAACAGCAATTTTTCAAGATGTGCTGTCCACGTATATTCTATGCCTAACTCTCCTTTCCCTGCTATTCTGGAGTCCTAGGCCATCTGGACTCCATATTGGCAAAGGAACTGAGGGACAGTTGGCCCATTCTGTTCTTTATGCCCTCGAGTGGAAGGGCATGGGGGCATCCAGAGTGCAGGCGCAGCACCAGTATACACTACTGGTCAAAAGAATATCATCTTGTGTGCATGGGATGCATGCACACTAGAAGTGGAACCTATGTGGACTACACATCTTGAAGATCTGCAATTGCTGTAGAATAGGTAACCATTTTCATTCTTTTAATGCCTAAACTTCCAACAGGGATATTTTTACAACTACAAATAAACAGTGTAATTGTTATTGTTAAATTGCTGTGTGTGCAACGTAGGATTCAAGACTCCCTTTCCTAACAGTTACAGTTTGGATGTGTGAAAAAAGACATACATATCCTCTCTGATCTTATCTACATTAGCTATTGGGGGGGAGAGAGACAGTGTTACTGTAACTGGTTCACCTCCATTAGTGACAGTGAAATCGTAAGAGACTTCCCAAAAGAAAACACAGACTTTGTGAGAAAAGCATAGAAGTAATCAGGGCTAGAACACGAAAGCTATTTGCCTCCCTCTTTAGGATAGACTGTTAGCAAATGCATGAATTAAAAAAAAATGGGGCAAAATCGTATGAATAGTGACTTGAATAAAAGGCGTGTGCAGTGGGAAGTTCATGGTTTCTGACTGTAAGTACTGTGGCATGACTTGCGACTGAAATTTTTTGGTCATTAACTTATTCAGAGTAGACAAGGACTGTCCATTTTGAATCCCACTTAAAATGTAGAAGAAGAAAAAAAGAAGTGGCAATACTATATTAAATAAAACTTGAAGGGTAGCTGGGTAAATACGTAGGTTCTGCTCATTCTATTGAAATGTATATTTAGAATCGCATTTATATCTAAACTACTACAAAAAGCTTTTACAATACTGTCTCCTATAAAATAGCTATGTTGATAGAAATGTATGACTACAGTGGTACTTAAATATCTAAGGTGATAGGCATAGAATAAAAAAATAAAGTAAACAGCTGTATTAACTTTCATTAAGCTGTATTTTTTCATGTCATTTTTGTTTTCTGAAAGTAATTATAATACAAAAAGTTCTTCGAGTGCTTGCTCATGTCGATTCCATTCTAGGACGTGCACGATCGTTGGAGATTTTTGCCTTAGCAGTATCCATAGGGTCCCCTTGGAGTTCCGCTGGCCCTATGCACTCTCAGTTCCTTCTTACCACCAGTGGTGGTTATCGGCGCACTTTTCCTTGCATAGCAAAACTAGCGGTTTCATCTCTTCTGACTTCGAGCCTTAGGGCCTTGTAAATAGTTTGTTTATAGTAGTTAGTGTTAAGTGTAGTTAGAAGTTAGAGTCCCATCGGGGACTTCGCCCCAGGCAGGGCATGCCCTGGTCTCCCGGGTTTAAGCCCTGCTCAGACTGTAACAGGCCTATGCCTGTTAGTGACCCACACAGCAGCTGTCTCAAGTGCTTGGGGGAATCACATGTGAAGGACAAGTGTTGTATCTATAAAATCTTTTGACCCAGGACCCAGAGAGAGAGTGCGATATCCATTCGAGGGCTCTCCTCATGGAGGCTGCCCTCCTGAATGGCTTCCGAGACATTCCGGACGGACTCTACCCCTTGAACCTTGGCCTCTGTGCATAGTACACCCCTGGCACCGGACTCTGTCCGACACTGCTCTCTGTCGCTGGTGCTCAAAAAGAAGACCAAAAAATACGGCTTCCCAGCACCGGGCAAGAAAGGCAATGTGTTATGAGGCAAAGGACCCAGTTCAGGCTGCCCGTCCACTCCAGAGCCACATGGATGTGCCTCCCCATTTGGGGCCCTGAGCCCACCAAAGGATCCACTGCTGACTCCCGGGAGTGGTAGGGGACCCAGACCTGTGGCGGGCCCAGCCAGTATGAAATGCAGGGCTGCTGGTTGCAGGATGATCTGGCCCTCTATATCAATGTCAGGGAGCTCAGAGATTATCTTCAGCACCTCAAACTCCAAGGTTTGTCCCTGTCGTCGATCAAGGTCCACCTGGCCACTATTTCAGCTTTCCACCCTCCGTTGCAAGGCAGGTCAGTCTTAGTTCACCACATGATGGCCCGGTTTTTGTAAGGTCTGGAGCGTCTCTACCCGCACATCCGGGATCCCGTTCCTCCCTGGGACCTGAATCTCGTGCTGTCGAGGCTCATAGGGCCTCCCTTCATGCCTCTGGCTTCCTGCTCTCTCCTGCTTCTCTCCCGGTTTTGTTCCTGGTTGCAGTAACGTCAGCCCACAGGGTGTCTGAGATCAGGGTGCTTATTTCGGAACCTCCCTATACGATATTCTACAAGGTTAAGGTCCTCCCTATACGGTATTCTACAAGGATAAGGTCCAGCTGCGACCACACCCGGCATTTCTGCCAAAGGTAGTTTCCCAGTTTTATACTGGCTGGGACATATACTTACCTGTCTTCTTTCCAAAGCCTCCTATGTCAGAATGGAATCGACAGGAGCAAGCACTCGAAGAAATAAAAACTGTTACCTACCTTTTTGTAACAGTTCTTCGAGATGAGTTGCTCATGTCCTTACCATTACCCCGGCAAGAGGGAACTGAGAGGGCATTGGGTCGGCGACGCCTGATAAACCGATGCATAAGTGCGGCACTCAGGGGGGTGCCACAGCTGACCCTATGGATACTGCTAAGGCAAAAATCTCCGACAACCACGCACGTGGGCGCGCGCACACCTCGAATGGAATGGACATGAGCAACACATCTCAAAGAACAATAGTTACAAAAAAGTAAGTAACCTTTTTTTCTGATGAGCTAAATGCAATGGGAATTGAACAGTTTAGCTTGTAATTTAAGATATTTTATTTGTGCTTATTGTTCCAATAGTTTCTGTCACATGCCTTGCGTGGTTCAGTGAAGACAGACCATTTGCAGTTGGCTATTCAGATGGAAAATTGCTGATAGGTACGAAGGAGCCACTTGAAAAAGGAGGAATTGTTCTAGTTGATGCACATAAGGTAGAGTTTTAATTTTCTTGAAAACTAATTCATACCCTCCTAGTTTCCCAAAGATAATGCATGATTTAAACTATAGTCTTAATTTCAAAATTTTGTATAAAAATGACTTAAAAGATAATAGCCCATTTTTTAAAGAAAGCCACAGGAAAGCAACAAGAGTTCTTCCAGTAGGGTTCTTCAAATGTATGTTGTTTATACTGTAGCTGAAGTGCATTTCAAGATTTGCTGTGCACTTCTGATCTAAAAAAGATGTAGTTATCTATGAACAATTTGATAAATTAAAAATAATTTAAATACTAGCCTGATATTAAATTTTCTTACTTAAAATGTATAATTTATATGATAGATGGTTTTTTTTCCTGAACTAAAAAAGTTATTGTGAAGTGTAAAAGATGTTTCTCAAAATACTCAAGCATTGCCGATGTATGCCAGTCCAGTGGCCAATAAAGTCCATAAATAATTTGCAAAGAGACTTTCCCCCCAATGAAGGGCTGATGTAAGCAGACCCAGTGCTGTTCCACTTACAAGTCCCATTGTATGGAGCGTGCGAAGCAGAGGAGGGGGCAAGTTGGAAGCAGAAGGGGAAATATCTGCAGTGCAACCCATAAACAGCCTAGAAATGGCTGACATAAATTACAGAACTTCCTGGGCTGTTCTAACTTATGCCAGGATCCATTTTGGCCCTGACATAAGGCTGGAATCCATGAACGAAAAGATGGCATAAAGTCTCCTTTGCTCTGTCTTCTGGGCTGCATCTTTTGTGCTGCAACTTTCAGGAGGCACAGCGCAGAATCTGGCCCATTACCCTGGTCTACAATTTTTGAGAAGTCGTCTGCTTCAGAGATAAAATGTGCTATTTATTATGTATTTTGATGTGCTGAATTCAAATATGACAATTAAAACAACTGATGGGCTACTGTTTCTAAGATATTTAAGTTTTTACATTTTATGTCTATGTATATTGTGTAGCTAGTAGAGTTTTAATCATAAATTGTAAACCTAGGTTTTTT